GTCCGTTGCAGCGGTTAGAAAGCATTAGCTCAATTATTAATGTAAAAAAAAGGTGTTTCGAGTTGATAACTCTAGTTGCTGAAGATAATATTTAGAAAAAAATAAAATGTTTCATATAAATTCAATAAATCTAAACAACATTAGTTAATCATCGTGTGCATTTAAAGGGTATATACCTACGAATGTATGATGATAATGACGAATTATCCACCTAAAAACAAATACAGAAACTGGATAAAAGAAATTAAATTATTATTAGATAAAGTCGTCCTCCTCTATAATTACGCGATTTGTTTTACATAAAAAAGCTGTGACTGTAAAATTTAATAGTAATGTGATTATATAAAGTTACTTTGATAAATATAATTTTTCAAAAAATGGAGCTCATAAAGAGGGTTTGATTATATAGGTGAGACTAAAGGAGGATGACTAAATTTTAATGCCATGAAATTATAACATGAATTTGGAACAGAAAGAGATAATACATGCGATTGCATCTTATTATAATTACTTCCAAGTACATGACTATATAGATCTAATTAGAGATGCTTTAATTTTTATTATTTACAAATATTTACACAATAAAACCTTGTTCCAGCTTAAACCTTTCTTTATTTCTCACTTATTCTATCGCTTGTTTGCAAATAAATTGGTTAAATTTAATGTAACCTTATTTTATGTCACATTACATTACATGATACACTCATGTTTATTTGCTATATTGTATTATCTCAATATTTGGATTCTCAGATTTTACAGTAACTTCAATATCGATATTACTAATAACCAATTTTTTAAGAGTATTGTTCTTGCAAAGTGCTTCCGCTAATGCTTGTCCTCCCTTTGGCCCAAGTAAATTCTGGTCAAGATTCAACGAGATTAGCGTAGTGTTCTTGCGAAGTGCTTCTGCTATTTCTTTTCCAAACTCTGTTCCAAAATTATTGTTTTGAAGATTTAAATCTTTTAAGGTATTGTTCTTGCAAAGTGTTTCTGCAATTGCTTTTCCTCCTCTTAATTCAAGATGATTCCAACAAAGATCCAATGATGTCAATGTGGTGTTTTTGCAAAGTGCTCTTGCTAATGCTTCTCCCCCTTCTGATCCAAGAGCATTACGATAAAGATCCAAAGAAGTTAGCGCAGTGTTCTTACAAAGTGCTTTTGCTAATACCTTTCCTCCACCCGATTTAATTTCATTTCGATCAAGATTTAAAGATGTTAACGTGGTGTTTTTACAAAGCATACCAGCTATTGCTTTCACTCCTTCTAATCCAAGATTATTATTGTAAAGATTCAAGGATGTCAGAGTGGTATTCTCATAAAGCGCATCTGCTAACACTTTTCCTCCTTCGGATCCAATATTATTAGAACCCAGTGACAAAGAAGTCAGCGTGGTGTTTTTGGTAAGTACATCTGCTAATACTTTTACACCTTCTAATCCAAGCTTATTATAATAAAGATTCAAAGACGTTAGCGTGGTGTTCTTGCAGAGTGCATCCGCCAATATTTTTCCTCCTCTTGGTTTAAGAGAATTAGTACTAAGATCTAGAGAAGTCAGCATGGTTTTCTTGCAAAGCACTTTTACTAAATTGTCTATTTTTACAATTCCACATCTACCAGAGAGATCCCAAATTGAAGCATTGATTTGATCTTTAATACTATGTCGACTATTCATGAGAATTTCTTCATAAATTTCTAATGCTTTGAGAAAGTTGCCTTCATTTATGCATTTATGCGCTTCCTTTCTCTTATTCATAAGTATACTGTTACTAAAAGGTGAAGATGCTGTAATTTCATGTGATACTTTCTTTTTCTTATTTGCAAGCACATTCCTATTAACATTAACAAACGAAGATTCGGTAATTTCACGTGATTCATGTGGCGTTTTCTTTCTCTTATCCACGCGTATATTCAAATTAGCAAGTGAGTTTTCATGTGTTTCAAATGAACTATGTTGTGATCTATGTTGCGAACTATGTTGTGAACTATGTTGCGAACTATGTTGTGATCTATGTTGCGAAATATGTTGTGATCTATGTTGCGAACTATGCTGTGAACTATGTTGCGAACTATGTTGTGATCTATGTTGCGAAATATGTTGTGATCTATGTTGCGAACTATGTTGCGAACTATGTTGTGAACTATATTGTGAACTATATTGTGAACTATATTGTGAATTATGTTGTGAACTATGTTGTGGACTATGATGTGAACTATGTTGTGAACTATGATGTAAACTATGTTGTGAACTATGTTGTGAATTATATTGTGAACTATGTTGTGAATTTAGATTTACGGTTATATTTCCTCGTTGGTTTGGGAAAGTGGGTTCATTAGGAAAATGATGAATTAAAATGTCGTTTGGAATAAACTTGTCTAAAGTTTCAACAATCATTTTCGTTTTCGGACGAATGTTAGGATTTTCATCCCAACATTGTTTATAAAGTTTAACATATTGAAGTGGTGAACCTTCAATAGGTTCCTCTCTATTTCCTTTTGAGATGTGAAGAACAAGTGAATATTCCGATGTAAAAGATTGAAAAGGTAATATACCACTTGAAATTTCCCAAAGAATCATTCCAAAACTATATACGTCTGAGTTCTTGTTACGCGTGTATCTTTGGTCATTAAAGCATTGAGGATCTGTATACGCGGGCATTCTATGAACAACCGTGTCTGACAATCCAAAATCAATCATTGGTCTTCCTTGATGAATTAATATATTCTTCGAATGCTATAAAAATTTAAAAGAACATTAGCGAATAAAAAAAAAACCTAATAAACGCGTAACATTAGATATAAAATACAATAACTTACAAGATTCTTATGAGCAATATCATTATTATGTAAGAACAAAAGTCCTAGTGCTATTCCTCTAGCAATACATAATTTACTTGTCCATTGCAATGTCATAAAATTTTTTGTCAAGTATTCTCGTAAAGTTCCATCATCAGCATATTGAAAAATCATATTATAATATCCATCATAATCTATTTATTTACAATAAACATTATTATTAATGAATTTATGATTATTATTTTATACTTCAGAATTATAAACCATATACATACCTTTGGTGATCCCGTAAAATGAAATAATATGATGGCAATCAACTTTTCGTAATAATTTAAGCTTTTATTACATGAATAATAGAAAAATTTAAAATATAATACATTAAGAATCAGTCCAAATTTTAACATAACATAATACCTTGTCAATAAAGTTGTTAATAATTTTTTCGTTTGGACTTGTATCGATTTTAAGACATTTAAGAACGACTGTTGATTCACAGTCTTTCCATTCGTTTCTAAAAACTGGTCCAAAACTTCCATTACCAATTTTCACGCTGTCCGTAAATTTATCATATCGAAGATAATTAATATGCTCGTTGTAAAGAGCTCTTTTGAACCCTTCTTCTAAAATATTTGCCATGACTTTACTCGTCTGATCAAAGTGGGTATTCCTATAACGATAACGCGTGCAAGCAACCCGGTTTTACTTATTTTTTGCGCGTAATACAAACTAAAAAAAAAAAGGAGTTGGCTAAAGCCGGATTTACTTATTTCTGCAGGTAAAAAAGGAAATGATTGTCATTTCGCTAAAAGTACGTGAGATTTGACCAGCGTTAGGGCTAGGGTCAAGAGTTGGTTATGTAGTAAAATCTGGCCAGGAATTTTTTTTATTAGAACGTAAAATGTGATTTTCTAGATGTTTTGAAAACCCTTCGATCTCACGTTAAACGACGATTGCACCTGATCTTAACAGGAGGAACGTACCTAAAAATAGAACATGTTACACAATTTATCAAAGCTACAATTTATACAGTTTAAAGTACTTTTTCAGAAGACTCGGGTAGTTTATCTTGCTTATAAAGAGTATTGGCTTTTTTGAAAACTTCGAGTTTTTGTGACGGCGCATAAGAATATTTAGTGAATCCATCTTAATCCAACAATTTTTATTATTGTCAACCATGTCTGAAAATAAGCTTTGCTTTGAATGTTTAGCAACCGAATCTTCTAGATTTCATTCATTAGGAGAGGCAACATGGAAGGAAGCAGTAAATAAAGGCCTAGTAAAAGAAAACTGAGTAGAAGATATTGTTTTATGTAATGCTTGTTATATAAGTTTGGTTGTAAATCCCTTGAAAAAAGGTGTTAATTATGCAAATAAGAAGATAAATACAAGTAAAATTAACAAAAAAATTGAACTTTCCAAGGCTATTGAAATTATAACAAAATTTTTTTATAATAGAGAGCATACAAAAAAAGAAAACACTATTTATTCATTTGAAGAAATGCAAAAATTGTTAAAAGAATATAATTCTAATCTTAATTATTTTTTTAAGCAAGTTTACTTAACAGCTCAGCTATCTATACTACTGAACAAACAATGAATCATATGAAAAGAATAATGGTTTTTGTTTGTTATCTGCTTGTTTCTTTAAACAATACAAAGATAACTTCTTTAAGTTTGACATTGCATATTATATAAATTCTGTTAAAACAAATAATAAATATTTAAACACATTGTTAAATTTTGATGCAAAAAATGCACTTGTTCAATAATTTTTTTTTTAAAAAATATTAAGATGAGTACTTGCAATCTAGGATTTTATTGATAGTATATTTGGCTAATGGTTGCATTACAACCACAAGAGGCAACTATGAAAAGAGTATACAACTAGCCACTTATACAACTTTAGTTATTGTCTAATTTAAATAGTCTACTTGAAGGTTATACACTAGTTGCCATATCTGGAACCTGCCTATAGGTTTTCTATTTAACTATTCTAGTTTTTGTATCCATCTATCTACTTTTGCCTATTAACAACCTTAATTAAAGCTAATAAAAATATGTTATAATCACTAAATCTTTAAAGCAGTTTAATTATATAGGGAACCTTTAACCTTGTACTAAACCTTCTAGAATATTCTGTATCTTATTCTTATAGCTGACTTAGTATTGCTATAGTTGAGATTAACACTAACAGTCAGAACATACTATTAAACTGCTATGTTTTTATAAAGTTCACCTCAATTCTGATACTAACTTTACAATATATCTCTACTAATTTGGTATTCGATTCAAGTTCTACTGAGTTCTCAAATCAGGTAGCTCAGAAAAACAGGTTATAATCATACACTTTTGGTTTACATATTTGCCAACATGTAACCTTTTTCTTTGGAACAGATCCTGGTAGCCTGGTTGGTTTCATTTAATCTTTTCTCAAAAGTCAGCTTTTTGTTTAGTTTTACAAGTTCTAGTTTTATTTTATAAGTCTAGTTTTTATAGTAATACTATAAAAGGTTTGGGTTACCTTTCTATTTGGATCTTTCAAGTGAATTTTCTATCTTTCTACCTGGTTTCTATGATATACATAATCTAAGAACTTATCTTGAGTTTAAACCACCTAGTACCAGTTTGAGTTCCTTCATATAACATTACATGAATGCCTAAACTTTCTAATTATGTTAGTATGATATGAGTTATAGATATTTTATTCTAACCAATTACAAAAAATAGTTAATCATAATACAGAAAGAATTACAAATTTTCACTATCACTGGAATTTGAACTATAAACCTACTATTTGAAAGTTAACAACCTATTTATTTTACTAGATTGTTATATCTTCTTGTTAAATATTCAGAAAATGCATTCATGTTAAATATAGATGACTATTATAATATTTATATTTTACAACATCCTATTACTACAATTACTTCTACAGCAACAAGTATGATGATGATTTTAGTGAATCTGTGCTTGACATTAGCAACACTATCTTATAAAATAATTAATCTGAAGTTCTTAAATATAAAGATTTTGTTATTTGAAATATAGATTGTATTATTACTTTTAATACTTTTTTTTTTTTTTAAATATTAAGGTAAGTACTTGCTACCCAGAATTTTATTAATAATATATTTGGTTAATAGTTGCATTATAACCACAAAGAATAACTATAAAAAGAGTATACAACTAATTACTCATATAACTTTAGTTATTGTCTAATTTAAGTAGTTTATTCAAAGGTTCTACATTAGCTGCCATAACTAGAACCTGCTTGTAGGTTCCCTATTTAATTACTTTGGTTTTTGTATTCACCCACCTACCTTTGCCTACCAATAATCTTAGCCAATGCTGATAAAAATATATTATAATCACTAAGTCTTTAAAA